ACCATTATTGTAAAAACAAAATAATAAAAACTTCCTTATATTCAGTCTAAATCTTTCTTTAGTTTGAAAGCTTTTCCCCTTGTCATATCACAGCAGACCCTGCTGAAGAATCTGTCCCCCTCCTTTTCATAGCCCCCATTTAGATAGGCAGCTCTTAGGTCTCCCTGGAGCCTTCTCTTCTGCAGGCTGAACAGTCCGAGCTCTTTCAGCCTGTCCTTGCAGGGAAGATGTTCCATCCTTTGGATCATTTTTGTGTCCCTCTTCTGGAGGTATTCTAGCAGGTCCATAGTTCTCCTGTACTGAGGACTCCGCATATGGACACAGTACTTCAGGTGAGATCTCACCAGCACAGAGGGGCAGGATCATCGTCCTTGATCTGCTGACTATGCTTGTTTTGATGTAGCCCAGGGCATGGTTGTCTTCCTGGGCCGCAAGGGCACATTGCTTGCTCATGTCCAGCTTGCCAATACCCCACATACTGTGCTCTATCCTTACATCCTTCAGCTTGTACTGATAGTGAAAGTTACTATGACCCAGGTGGAAGACCTTGCACTTGGTTTTGTTGAACCTCATGAGATTCACCTGGGCCCAGTAGAGCCTGTGTAGGTCTCTTTGGGTGGCTTTCTGGATACTTCAGGCGTGTTGACCGCACACAACTTGGTGTCATCTGCTGAGGATGCACTCGATCGCACAGTCAATACATTGATGAAGATGTTAAAGAGCATTTGTCCCTGTACTGACTTCTGAGAGACACTACTTGTCACTGATCTCCATCCAGACATTTAGCCACTGACCACTACTCTGTGGGTATGATCTCATAACCAGTTCCTCATCCATTGGACAGTCACCTATCAAATTTGTATCTTTTCAATGTGGGGAGAAGGCTGTTGCGGGGAACCGTGTCTAAGGCCTTACTGAATTCCGCATAGATGACATTGGTAACTCTTTCTTTGTCCACTGATGAAATTATGCCATCATAAGAAGCAACAAGATTTTTCAGGCAGGACCTGCTCTTGGTGAAGCCATGCTAGTTATATCACCTCCCTGTCTTCCATATATCTTGGCAAAGCTTCTAGGAGGTTCTATTCCATGATCTTCCCCAGCACAGTGGTGAGGCTGACAGGTTGGTAGTTTCCAGTGTCACATTTTATACTCATTTGAGTGCTGCGTTGTCTTTTTTTAGTCACCAGGAACTTCACCTGACCACCATGACTTATTCATATTTATGAATATAATCAGGAGTTGTGTGGCAACTACCAGTTGGCTTCAGCCAAATTCCCTCAGGTCTTTGGGATGCATCTCATCGTGACCCATAGACTTATGGATGTTCAGGTTTCTCAGGTGGTTGTGAACCTAATCTTCACTTAATCAAGAGGAGCTTATTCTCCAGTTCCCACTTTCCGAACCATCTGCTTGAAGGCTGTGTGTTGCAAGGGCAGTTGCTAGTGAAGACTCAGGTAAAAAAGTTATTGAATATCTAAGCCTTCTCCTTGTCTCTTGTTACCAGCCTGCCTGTATTGCTCACTAGGAAGGGTACGCCCTCCTGAACTTTACTTTTCCAATTGATGTACCTATAGAAGCCTTTCTTATCCTGATAATGGTTTTATAAAGTGAGGATAGTCACCACTAGGGATCCAGTGACATCTTGTTGATTTGCAGGGAGCTGCAGATCAGTTAGTGACTTCTCATTTACCTGCATGGCTACAATTCGTGGAAGGGGTACCCATTCTATCTTCAAACGTTTGGGGTTTTTATCCTCATATTGTCATTTTGGTTGCCAGTGCGACATTGCTTGCTTCAGTTGTCAGGGGCAACAGCATGTTCATGGTATGTGCTCCTCCTGTTGGGTGATGGGCAGTTGATCAGAGAATTGTCACATGCTGAGCTGCTGTGTGTGTCCATTGAATGTATGTGGTCCACTCCTCTGAGACAACCCCCATAAGTCAGCCTTAATGCCCAAAAAGATGCAACAACCAAAAATGGTTTCTCCTGGTTGCCTAGCCGCATGTGTTTCTCTTATTACTGTGATCATGGTAACCATTAACTACAAAAGCTTGCCAAGCAGATTATGTCTCAGACAGGTGCTACTGAACAAGTTTTGAGCCAAAAATTGTTCAACCTTCTCACAACCTCCCTGTGCTTGAAAATGCCGAAATTCCTGTGATGGTACCAACCTCCTAGTCATGTATTTATCAGATGAATTTTCCTGGGCCTCTCAGTATCCCTTTCTGCCACTGAAGGGATCGAGGAAAACACTCCCTAAGCTCCTCCACTGTTCGTTAACAGTCCAGTCTTCTGAAGTCCCTTTTGATTGCCCCTAGGCTTCTTTCAGTGACTTCATCACTGCCATCTTGACTGTCAGGCTGTTTTTTATGGGCCTTAAGCCATAACTTAAAGATCTTCTTGAGTGACAGTATGGTAAATCTCCCACCTCCAGAAGAATCACTATACTGAGATTACCATAACAATCTCTTTATGGACTTTTTTCTTAGAATCCACTTTCTTTCCTCTTGATTCCACATTATAGAGAGAGAGATGAGAAGATTTTCAGGCTTGGCTCTGTGATTGCAAATATAAGTTTTCTAATCTTTAAATCTTGTTTTAGTAAGGTGTCCTCAGATACTGCTATACATCTACTTGCTTATCTAAGAAATATAGTTAATTTGATATCAAGCTACTGTTTGCAGTTTGGCAGGAGGGAATCACAAGGTATTCTGATAAGTTGAATTACTGATCTTACTCTCTCTTCTGAATTCAGAGTAAATTTTGGGAAAACGGTGGAACTTCACAAAAACAGTTTGCAATAAGAGCACTCCTTCAAAATCTTGATTTTTTTTTTTTCCCAATTTTATTTGTCTGATTGTTACAGTGAGATGAGTTAGTAAATCTTATTGGGTGAAGCGCAGCGTTGTACACAGTTTCTCCCATTTACCATTTTGTATTTTCAGTATTGATCTTCAATTACCAACATAAGCATTTCAATAGTGAAAGCATTCAGCGTTTTCTGTGACAGAGTCTTGCAAATGGCGGAATTACCTTTTGTAGTTTCTTTTTCCGTACTTGAAAATAAACATTCTTAATCATTGAGCCAACACAGTGAAAAATTGCTCTTATTTTATTCATTCTTTAAATTGTAACAGCCATTCTATGTTCTATGATCTGCTTATTTTCTGACTCCTGGCTTAGCTCCCAGGTCTTAACATAGAAGTCTGCTTTTCACAGAGCATCCTCTGTGAAAGCACATGGAAAGGGGACCAACCTCTAATCTGAAGAAATAAACCTGTATCAAAACAAAATGAAGTTTCTTAAAAATACAGGAACTTGCCGAGGAAAGATAATTTGTCTGTTTGAAGAGATCATTTGTGGTTGTAAAGTGGTTTGACCTTGGTTGTGCAAAATAAACCAAATGTGATGGAGAGCTGGTTTTTGGAAATCAGGACTTCAGGGCAGATATAAAGAGAACTTTAAATTGCATTTTTTACTGCTTCCATTTATCTGCTCTCCAATAAATGCCCAGCAACTTTGGGGATTGAAGAAATGAGATTTCATAACACATCAAAGTCCTCTTGCACATTGGTGCAACCTGCTGCTTTTACTTTATGGACTTTTGTGTAGTGCCTGGAGTGAATAACAGGCTGAAGCTATTAAAATATGTTAATAGCTGTGAGAAGTAGAAGTGTTAGACAAATGGATCTTGTTCAGTATAATTTACCTTGCTGCTGTTGAATGACTGAAAATATTTTGTTAGCTCTTTGCATATTTCTTATGGATTGATCAAGTCTTAAAATTCTAATTGCTTTACAAATATAAATATACATGAAGAAGAAATCTAAACTAGGGATTAGCCACATAGAGTTAATGATTAAATGTACAATATTAAAAAAAATGTAATTAAGGTTTACCAAATAGTGAGAAATGAAAACATTATGGAAAAAGGGTTTTACTGCTTCTGGTTTTAGCATGATTTTAGAAAGAATAGTTCTCTGTTCAGCTGAAATTACATATTTTGGTATATCACTCATTGCAATCCTTAGAAGATGTCTTGATTATACTACATGAATTAGGAAATAACTTCTAAGTATGCATTCTTCTTATGCATGGATACTTCCCCACTTTCTTCTGAACACCAGGTGATGCTTTTCTTTGTTTTTTGACTGGAAGTTCTGTGCTCAGTATCTCTCTTACCAAACCTATTAGGAACCTGGAAGTGCTTTGCTTTCATTGAGACAGAATTTTCAGTGTGATGGCATTAAACATATGAGTAGTTGATCTCACAGTGTGATGTGACTGGGGCATGTAGATATGTCATAAATTGTCTGTGCACATTATTGTGCAACAGGCTAGACATAGTTAAAGGAGTTTTACGACATGATGAAAGCAAATACAGGAAAGGCTCAAGCACTGGCAGAAAGGACAAAAACAAGTAAGTTCTTATTTAGAGGAATTGAAGAAAAAAAAAATCACTGTTTTACATTGTACTTTGAAATTTTGCAATCAGATTTTACTCCCTATATGTTTCTTCGGTTTTCATAAAAATACTTTTACATTGAACTGTGGTAAAAGAGGGGAAAGTCATACTCATTTTCCCCTGTAATGGCAGTATGGTACTGTGCATGTTGGTCAAGGGGAGGTTTGCATGAGAATTTGTCCATGTGCAGTTATTAAGCTGATGTTTTAATTTTAGATAACATGTAGAAGAAGTCATACTTAAGCTCACTGTCACTTTACTAGTGCATCTACTGTATGGATTCATAACGCTTTTAAAACTCATTTTGGTAATATTGCAGCTTGGGAAAGTTAAGAGTGTATTTGTTTCTGGACAGTTTCACTAGTGGAACAAAATATGATACATTGTATGATACACATGTGTTCAGAGAACAATATGGAAACTTTCCAGAGTGAGCCTTTTATCTACTGTAGTAAAATACGTTTCTGGAGAGGATGTTTCTAAATTCTTTTTTTAAAAAAAATCTGTTTTGTTTTTTTTTTTTTTTTTCCAGGTATTGCTATTTCTGATGAACTTGATAAGGTAAGATTTACTGTATGCCTAATGAACAGTACAAACAGACATATGATCATGATAAATGTAGGCAATATGAGCTAAATCTTCCTGTAGAGTTTAGAAGAAGCTTGGGTATAAACTATACGGGTAAGTACTGTACTTCTTGATACATTAAGAGCTTGATTCAGGTTGGGCTGTCAGTTATACTACTGAGATTTAAGGCACTCTTAATGAGGCTGTGATGCTTCTGATCTTGGTACCATCTTTGCTTAATGCAGTCTGTTGGGTTACTGTAATGGTGTACTTTTAGAAACATTTCATTTTGAATATCTTTTATTCATGAAGTTATATCATTGGGTAGCTTTTGTACTGTTAGATATTATAATTTGAGGAAATAATCAGGAGAGTTTTTTACTCTGATTGGGAACGCACAAACTTTAAAAATCAGTCTTCACTTCCTTACAGAATGCACCATACAGTGCTTCCTCATATGTTGCATTTTGATAAATTACATCATTAAAAAATTCATTAATTAGTTAGCTGAAATGAACTCTGTGCTGAAGCAGTATTCCTGTTAGTTTATAAATGTTCAAAAGGAAACAGTGCACTCTTCTCTTTCCTATTTGCACCCCTGAACAGCAGTGCTGAGACTAGCGAGTTGTATTCTTGGTGTCAAAAAGTACTGCAGTCATGGAGATAAGATAAGGGTACGTAAGACACAGGATCAACATGATATAATAGACAGTCTTTAAAATGTGTTACTTTCTCTTGGTAAGATGAGGGCACAATCCCTTTTTTTTTAAAACAAACAAACAAACAAAAATGCATAAGGAATTCCTAGGCATGTGGAGCTGCCATTTCAAAACCATCACTTTTATTTATCATTTAGGCCTTTTTTTTTGTTTGTTTTTTTTTGCTGGATCTCAGTTTGCTGGATCACAGTTTTGCTGTATCTGAGTCTTCCATCCTACCATTTCTTTACCTGTGGTCAGAAATGTTGAGAAATACAATTAGCAAAGCCCTTCCATTACAACCTTTACCATTAAGAGTACTTGTGAAGAACAGATATTCATTTAGCTTTGTTAAAAACAAAACGAAACAAAATGAAACCAACCAACCAAACAAAAAACCTATGAAAAGCTGTTTTGGGGTAGGGGAAGACATTTTGAGCTAGAGCCTATGATCACGTGCTTTTCTCCATATATAAGCTAAATTTTTGTGTGAATTTTTTTTTTTCCAAGGCAATTGATTATTGTTCAAAAAACATTCATGTTCTGGAATGTAGGAATTTAATGAAAAGTGAGGTGGAGAGCATCATTAGTGAATTTCCTCCTGTTGCAATCTGAGTGAACAGTTAATTTTCCTCTCATTACCAAATGCTTTATTGTTTATGATTTAAAATAGGAAATGTTTTCAAATAAAGCTAGATGTTATACTAAATACAGTTAAAAGCATGCATTACCTGATCTTTACTCTAAATTGATAGTATTGCATCAGATTTCACATGTGATGAGGACAGGCAAAGTGAATCAACTTGGAATAAAAATTTATTTAAATAATTAAAATATTAAATATTTTAATATATATTTTAAAATAAATATAAAAATATTTAGAATATTTAAACTCTTAACATACTTCCTTTGTACAGCCATGTTCAAAGGAAAAGAATATCTGTATTGTTTGTCTCCATGAGCATAAGTGGACATGAGTATTCTTTCTTGTTTGGTCTTTTAAAAATTTTTTAATGGATTTAAACACCTCACTTGTATGGAAGGTAAGCGTGGCTAGAACCTTCTGTATGAAGTGTAACAGTGTAAATTCATGTTGTTAAACTCACTTTCCCTCTACCTCAGGGCTGCTACATGCATACAATGTAGCCAAGTTCATTGAAATTCCTTTCCCAGAAGTACATGCTGGGACTACAGCTTCCTTATCTAGCTTGCAGCAGTACTGAATATTTTTTCAAACCACACTCAGATCTGGGTTTTGAAGCAGGTGCGTGTGTTAGGTCCCATGGTTCACACTGGAGTCCTTTATAAAAATGACATGTCACGGGAGGTATAAAATTAAACATCATCATAAATTCTTCTGTATGCTTTTGTTTGCCTTTTTTTCTTTTTTTTTTTCTTTTTTTTCCAGTTGGAAGCAACCATGGCAATTAGTACAGAGACCATAATTCTCCTGTTTAATTTGTGGTATACGTTACGAACCAGGAGAAAACAGACGTGAATGTGGTCTGTTTTTTTCTTATGTATGTTTATTTTTCTTTCCTTTTAAGTATGTATTTTTTAAAAGAACAATTTTATTTTGGCTTTTGCTACCTTTCTCAGGTGAATACTCAAACACTTACCACTGGCTGATGTAATTCTTCCTCTAAGCAATCCAGTTAACTTGGTAGTTGCTTAGTTATTCAAGCATTTGAATCTGGAAATACAGTTTGCTCTGAATTGCAAGCCCTTTTCTGGAAAGGTGTGTCTTTTAAATGGACTCTTGTCAAACTAATACTATAATTGCCTCTTTTTGGTACTCAGAGTTTTACACCAAGAGAGGTACAAAAAAACAGACAGACAGACAAGGCAAGTCTTTCAATCAGAATGGAAGCTTTTGGTTTGAAAGTCTAATACAATTTCAGTATTTTGTAGGTATAATTGCACAAAAAAAATCTTTGACACTACTGCAATTGATCCAGATTTCTTGTATTGTTACCAGGTTACAGGTTGTACCTGTGCAACCTCTTGTAGGGCACCTTCTTTAGCAGGAGTTGGACTCAGTGACCTCTTGAAGTTCTTCCTAAAGCCTGTGATTCTGTGATTCTGTACAGACTCCCTCCTTTTTCATTTCATTTACTTCAGTTTTGCAGAGTTTGATGTTTCATTTCTCCTGGTAATTCAGCCCAGTTCTCTAAGCTGTGGAAGTGATATAAAATCAGCAACTGATGCTGCGGGTACAGTGTGTAAGGAAAGAAAGTGAGAAGGGATGCCTTGTGACTCACAGATTTTAAGACTAACATGCAGTGTTAATATGATTCAAATTCTTTACTGCTGAACAGAAACTGTGCATGAATTTTCCAAAGCTCTTCATAAATGTCAAGATTTCCTGTAAACACAAAGAAGTTAACTAACTTTCCTGTAAACATAAAGAAGCTGGAATGTCACCCTTTCTGTAAAATTTATGGAATTTTAGTTTGGTTTAAAAAAAATAAAATAAAAGCTAGAGAAAAACATTAGAGTTCACTGTGAGGACATGTCCCTGGAAGGTGAGAGCTCAGATGCACGCAGATGTATATGTAGAACATCCATGGACTAGCCCTACTGCCGAAGCTCCCATATGGAAGGTGAAGGCTGTAACTGTGGTGCTGCTGAATAAGGGCACTCATGGTGATTGTTGGTTGTCTTCTGTAGAATTTGCAGCTCCTAGAAGATGCTACTTACCTGAAAGCCACAAACTGAACTCTAGTATGTGTTCCATTGTAGTATGTGTACATTGTAAGGTACACTGAGGTAAAACATAGCCAGAATGTTACAGTGCAGAAGTGTGTTTCCAATGGGCTTGCACGCCTTGCAGCCATGTTTCTGAACCAGACCAAGCCCCAAACAGGGACTCACGCACTTGCCAGTTAGAAATTTTAAAGCAATTTGAAAGGGTTTAAGGAAAGGTTTATTCATCTTCTGGCTTTTGATTCTTTAAACACTTTACAATTGTTTTTCAAGTGTTATTTTTTTTACTTAATTACTACAAAGACCAAAAATATTTTCTTTTTAAATAGGAGATAAGATTTTCACATAATCCCGATATTCCATGGATTAGTGCTTTACTTGAGCTTCATGTTGCAGAGCTCTCACAGATTATATGAGGCCTGCTATATAATTGCGAGATTTGTCTAGGACTTCAAACAATTTTGTTCAGCCAGTTTAAATTTTGAGAATGGGAAGTCACCTATGAGTCAGAGATCCAGAATCAGACAGGAGTAAACATGATTTATTAGAAAAATCATACTGGATTTTGATTCTCAAGGTCATTCAAACATTTTTTTCTGTGCTATGTCTGGGGTGTATTTTCTTCTTGTGTGGAGCATTAATGCAATGAACATAGGTTATAATTAATAAAATAGAGGACATAACTAGGTCGTGAAAACAAATTTGTTCTCACCCAAAAGTCTTTGTAACTGTGTAGGTTTCCTCGAAATCCATTTGGCAATAAAGACTACAGAGTTTTTTAAGCTATGCTTACATGAGTGGAGGCACAAATGTTGTTATGCTCTCTGATAGGGGCTACATATTGCAACCACATCTCAAGTCAATCTGAGGATGAGATTTAGCTGTCCTTTAGCTTTCCTCTCCTTCGCCTGGTTTCTACATAAAGGAGGTATGAGTCTGTCAAGTGGGTAGAAGCTGATAGGCGTGATTGGTAGATATTCTGGACTGCAACATAAAACAACCCTCTAGGTTAATTTATTTAAATATCTACCTGTGCTTCTGTGCACACTGATGTCACTATCAATCTCTCCATTTATTTGTGGAGGACTATAAATTGAAAATCAGTTAAGATTCTAAGGTTTATAATTAATATATATATCTATATATATATAGATATGGATATAAGAACTTGTCTGAGGACAGAGTACTTCAAGTAAATTGATTAAATCTTTTGAAATAATCTGCCAAATAAATGCTTTTCTGTTCTCAGTAGAGCTGTCTCTGATACTCATTTACTGTTTTCACTGTCACTGCTTATGTAGTTGAAAAAAGGAAAGTAAATTAGGTCACTGAAACTGTGGTGCACTAGTTAACAAGATTCAAAAATGGAAGCAAGGTAATAAAGGAGGCAAAGCATGACTATGTAATGTAAATTACATTTCTGTTAAGGAGAGTATGAAAGTACTGGTTTAGTCCCTGAGACGCATAGAGAAGAAATCAGCATAATAAGGGCAGACATGGCATTTGTTTTTTACTTATTCATGGACTGGTGTAATGCAGTGTCTGAAAAAAAGCTTCAGTACTGAAAAAAAGGCAAATTTTGAAGTGCACTTCCTCTTTCAAGCAGGTAACTGGCAGCTTTTAGCGAGATTGACACTGCTGGCTGTTGCAAGTTTAACTGGCAGCAACAACCCTTTACAATTCACTATTGGAAATTACACAGGGAGAAGGGGAAGAGAGAAAATGCCTGAAATAACAGAAAGAATTTTCATGTGGGGGCCAAATCATTCTTATTTAAATAAACTACTGAGTGCACCTTGTATCATGGGCTGTGGAATAATCTTTTTTCCTAGCTTATTGGCTTTATAATGATAAGCCACCTGTGGTAGCTATCACCTGTCAAGTGACAAGAGGCTGCATTACAAGACTGTGGCACAGCAGTAGACAGATACATAAAGCATATATTTTTAAGCACATAAAAGAAAATCACCAGTGTTTAGATATTCCAAAACTTTTGCACTCATGGTGTTTTCCTCAGATTTCTCTCCTTTGTGTTGGCTGCATTTAATTTTCAGTGGCCATGCCTTGCAGAAAGCAGACATTGTGTGAAAAGTGAATTTAGTTGTCTGGATGCGTGTATGTATAGACTGGAGTGGGATAATGCAACTCATAGGCATACTGGAGAAAACGGAACAAGGGTGGATGAATCTAATCCGGGTCCTATTTTGTATTTGGCTCATTCAGATGGAAGCTCTTGGAATTTGGCTGAGCAAATTCTAGCTTCTAGCCAAGGTTTTAGAAATACATTCATATGGGAGCAGCTTGCACGTAGGTTTTATTTTTTTCTTTAAGTAGACCTCTATTTGCTGGACTTTTACCATATCTGTACCAATTAGAAAGGGACTTCAAAATTGTTTTCAGGAAGGTAGGAAAATGTGATTGCTTGGCTAAGTAATCACTGTATTGTAGTTTTTCCAAAAGCTCCTTGTTTAGAAATTGTTGTTTTATGAAAGGGACGTTTGTTGAGACATTTAGATCCAGAAGGGTTTGTTTCCCTAAATTTTTCTCTTAAAGGATAGGAATACCATATCTCTGTTAGTGAGAAAAACTGTATTTGAAAAGTCTTTGTTTTCCTGAGAAAGGTTTTACTAAAGCAAAATGAATATTCTTGATCCATTGTTTCTGTGTCTACTTCTTGTACCTATGCTTTTTCTGTAGTTTGATTGCACTGTAGTATATGACCCTTTCCCTACATCCTTCCTTGTAACGCTGATAAAACTCTCACTGCTTTGCAGCAGGTTTTTCTTACAATTTCTAGGTGCATTTTGTTTCCTTAACCTAAATTCCTAATCTAACAATGCAAATCACCACTACTGTGTTGAATATTCTGGTTATTTTGCCTCCTTCTTGTAATCCTCTTCAGCTATCTTCTTCCAGTAAGCTGTTAAAAATATGAGTGCAAGTTTCAGAAATGCATTTTATTAAAATGTTAATACCATTTTTGGAAATGAAGGATACATTATGTAAATCCCAGCAGAGTTATTTTTAAAATGCCAAGCGCAGATGTATTTATTAGTCTTGCATTAATTCATAATGCAAATAGGAGAGATGCTATTAATCTACAACAGTCTTGTGGTGGTGGTGATGTTCATTATACGAGTGACCTCATGTGTTGCTTAGCCTGACACCGAATGGATTCCAAGTGTTGCATATTTATTTAACAAAATAATTTTTCATGAAAAATGATAAGTTCCAGCTTTATACAGTTGATATTGAGAAGCAAGAAGAGATTTGAGACACCAGGGTGGGGAAATCTTTCTTGGAATTTTATTAATGCAAAATGTCTTTTCATTAGTCTGTGACTTTTCTGGGTGCTACTAAGACCTCTGACATTTTAACATATTGTATAATTTTTCTTTACTTTCTTCAATAATTTTATTGTCTTATTTTCAGATCTATTTCATTTGTAGTTGAGAACAAGTAGCATGGTGCTTTGATTTTCTTGTTTTTATTTCTCTTTAGGAGACAACAGGTTTTAATACCCCCCTTCTCAGACCTCGTGTGATTGGAGAATGGATTGGTCGCGAAGAGAATGATGCTGATCCCCTGGCTGCTGAGATGCTGCAGCCACCAGTTCCAAGAAATAAAAATGAGCAGTGGGACAGTGAAGACAGCAGCAGTCCTGGTGGAAGGTAGGATTTTCATTCTCTCTAGAAAACTGATAATTTTTTAAGGAGAGCTTTCTTTGTGATGCACTGCTTCTGTGGGTGAAACAAAGGATTTTTAAATTCCCATACAGTGGTGTAGCATAGCACACAATAAATGGTAGACACTGCTATGTGACTAGCTTCCTCTAGTGCTTCTACATATGACTGACTTTACACTCATTAGCAATCCCATGGTTTGATTCTCATACATAAAACTAAATGTGTATGTGTGTGCGTGTGTGTTAAAAGCTTGTACACTGCCTCCATTAATCATCTAAATCCCTACTGTTCTCTATCAGCTCTATAACTTTTTGGTTATAATCAGCACGCTGACTGTAGTAGACACCTTCTTATTGCTCTTTTAAGGATGAAGAAACTCTTTGATTACCTTCTGAAAAGGTCTAAAGTATGCTTTCACTATTTCTATCACGTCCTCTGTACTAAAATTCAATTCCTTGTCACAGGGAAACTAGTGTATCATTTGTCTGTACTCTTAGAGGCTGTATTTATTAACTTTCCATTCATGTTGGAAAGGTTTGTTATCCAAGAATACTTCTTACTTCTTCTAGTTTATTGTGGGGGAAGGTGTAAATACTACAGTTTCAGAGTGTAAATATTACATTTCCAAAGTAGCAGCAGCAGGTAGTAATGATCCCTTAGCCAGACTTTGGACTGGAACCAAAAGAACTCAAATACAGTCTCTGTGCTGCTGTTCTGAAAAAGTAGTGGAGTCAGCACCTGACATTGCTTCCTGATCGTGTGGGCCTGGGTCTTTGTATTTTCTTTGTGAGCAGTCCAATAAGGACACTGGATAAAGATTTGTTACATGCTGTAGAGGAACTTAAGGATATTGTATCCCTTCTCTCAATAGGAAGGAGCAGAACTAAGCTGATTTCTAGATGGAAGCAAATAGATTTAGTTCTGAGCACTTCTCTCTGTTGCTGTAAGGGAATAAGACAAGGTATTAACATGTGATAAAGGACTATATAGAAGTGCTGATGGCGACCCTGCTGATACTGAGCTCCTTTTTCAGAAATTCAGGAACCAAAAGATAGGATTATACTCCATGTCACTGTTAGTAGTTTTTTTACTTAAAAAAATATTGTGGATATTCTGAGAAGAAGAATGGCCTTGGGAAACTTCCTTAAGGGGTAACATGTCTACGCAATGGAGAATTTGGGTGATTTTTAATATGATGTTCTTGTTTCTCAAAGGCTGTAATAAACTAAAGCTCACATAAGCTCCATCCGTAGCCACATTCTAAACTCAAAGCTTGTTCTTCATCCCCGGAGTCCACTCTATCTTATTAGAGTTTATCTTTGTAGGGGGAAAATGAGCTACTGATTATACTGCATTTCATACTTTTGCAAAAGATCCATCTTCCTGCAACAGGCTATAAAAACAGCCTAAGGTGTTCCCATGTTTTTTCTAAGATTGGAAGGAATCAAAAATTGGTAACTACAGTAATTCCTGCCTTAGACCTTTCTGCTAACTTCTCTGCAGTTCCAGGTGTCTTTTACTTAGATTAGGGACACATGAAACCACAAGGAAGATTGTTGTAACTATGTAGTCCTTAATGCTGTACAATTGTTGTAACTTCTCAGTATTGTTGTGGTGTGACCAGTGTCTTAAAATAAGTAGTGAGTCTTAAAAATAAGTAATTGATATCTTGTTGTTGTGTTTATGTAACTTCTTTAAACTTCATCAAATGACCATAAAGTCAGTAGGTATTTCCCATCATCATTCAGTCAAAACTTTAGGTAGGAATTGGAAGCAAAAACTGATTTATAATATTGAGTGATCAGTGAGTGTCTGGTAGCTAGCAGGTTTATGTGTGGTCTGATGGTGTTAATCAGATGTAGATGACATCATGGGCTGCAGTAATTTGAAAAATGTGTGACATGGTTTGTAGAGAGTGTCAGTAAGAGAAAGTTGTGCTTTCCTCCCTCACAGCTTAAAAATGGAGCCAAAGACCAAAGGACTAAAACAGCAACAGCAGCAACATAAGAAACTGCTGGCTGCCATGCTTTCTCAAGACTCCTTTGATTCTGCCCACAGCACAGCTCCATCCGTAACTGAAGAAGATATTGACAATGAAGATGATGCAATGGAACTGCTGGGTAACCGGAAAAATTATTTTTTTTTCTAAAATTTAATTTCTTTTTCTAAATCTAAATTATTGATCAAGATAAGAAGTGTAACATTCATAGATTAGTTTGAATCTGATTCCTATTTTTAAAATCTAAGTATCCAGTAGCTGTGCAAAACAGTAATTTTCAGGAGTTGATGTCATGAGGGTCATATGTGTGTGTGAGGAAACTCCGAACTGCTTCAAAATCCCACGTTTCAGATGATTAAAGTAATTAATTCAATTTCCTACATAAACAGTCAACTGGAGTAGATTGCTCTAGATGTGCCACAGTTGAGTTTTGAGAGTCTGTGCAAAGGTGATTGTTGGATGTGTCTGGGCAATGTGTTCCAATGTTTGAACATACTACTGATTAGAAAAAAATAAAAATAAAAAAAATTCAGAATTATTTTGTTCAAACAATTGTGGATTAATACATACCATGTTCTGTGTTGTTTTTTTTGTTTGTTGGTTTTTTGTTTTTTTTCAGTAATTTTAAATTTGATGCATGCATTTGTGTTTACAAGGAAGAAGACAGAATAGGCTGGATCTCTTCTGTGTCTCAGTGGAGCACTTAGTTCCTCTTATATGAAGCCACACTGTGTGTAGCTGAGGACTTGCTGTCTCCACAGAATCAACTGTTATTTCAGTTAATCCATGGATCCCAGTGAATACCGTGACTAGTTTGTAGCTGTGTTATCTCTTTATTTTCTCCCATAATTTAGTAATCTTTCCGACTTCATCAGTGTGGAAAAAAGAAAAATTCTTGTGTTGCTATAAACCACAGGACTTCTCTAAAGTAGAACTAAGTAGAATTCTGTGGTGTTCATTGAGAGAAGGTGAATGAGGTTATTAGCTTCATGATGTATGACCCACAGAATAAACCCTTTTATTAACATATGCAGATATATTGAGGTGAATGGTAGCCAGTATAAGTTTGCTTCTCCTGTGTGTAGATCTTTCCCTGTAGACACCTGAAACCCTAGGAGTATCTGTGGCTAGAAAGGCAATATGAACAAAGTTATCCTTTCTCGTGCTTTGACATTTATGCAGTGTATTATCTATGTTTAAAAAAAAAAAAAGAAAAAAAAAAAGTGTTTTTTTGTTTGGGTTTGTTTGTTTATGATAAGGACTTGATTGTAAGAGTCTATCCTGCTATTCTGGTTTTATGCCACGCAAAACCTAGAACATTTTTCTGCCATGTATTTCATTGAAACTGGGCAAGTTCATACAAAATCAGCTTTGAAAAGTCACAAAGAAGACCTTTGGTTTGATTGGAGTGTTATATAAGTACTTCTGAGATTCTGGAGGAAAATCATGGCATTCTCAATAAGTAACTGTGGTTACAGTGATTATAATGTAGCTATGCTATAGTAACAAACACCGATAGGGTGGTCAATATAAATCTGTTTATTTTGAGAGTCCTGTTTTTTTGAAAGTCTTATTTTAAATTTCATTTCCCTTTTGCTGGCAGTTTGCGTATTATATTTTATATAATTGTTAGGTTACACCCTGCAGAACTGCTCAAAACTTGAGATTATAACAAATTGTGCCACAGGAAGGACATTTATTTTCTTTTAAAGGTAAAATAAAGAACTTAAGTTTCTATCAGCAAACATAGTTTTCTGTCTTTCATTGCTGTATTTTCCAGATCAGTAACTGCATGATATTGCAATTGAATTTTCTTATGTACTGCATTAATCTATTAACTGCTTTGATGCTTTTTAAACGTGCAGTCTAGGTACTTTCAAATCATGGCTTTCTGCCATAAGTAAATTGCAGGGAATTGTTGCATATAGCTGTATCATTTGTTCCATTTAGTATTCATTATTCATTGCTTATGCAGCCCTTTCTTTAAAAAAAAAAAAATTAAAAAAAAAATACAAAGCCTCATGCTTGTAAGTCTGAATTCTGCGAAAACTAATTTCACTATTGATAACACATGATTTTAATCTGTACTCTACCTACAATACAGGTTTTTGCAGAGCAAGACCTTTATCTGTATCCAAGAGAATCTTCAGAATTTGATTGATCTACTCAGGTATTAAAAGTATGAAACTGACTTTTGGGATATTTTCTTCTAAAAAAAACTCTTAGCAGTCATATCAGAATTGTCAGTGAAGGTTTAGCTAGAATGGGGTAGAATCTTAGAATCGTAAAATCCTTAGAGCTGGAAGGAACCTTTAAAGGTCATGTAGTTCAACTCCTCTGCAACGAGCAGGAGCACCACAGCCAGATCAGGTTGCCTAGGGCCTGATCCAGCCTTGCCTCAAAAGTCTCCAGGGACAGGATATCAACCACATCTCTGGGCAGCCTGTTAAGTGCCTCACTACCCTCACTGTAAAAGACTTTTTCTTTATATCCAATCTAAACCTACCTGCTTTAAGCTTGAAGTCATTTCCACTCGTTCTATCGCCTCAGACCCTGCTAAAGAGTCTGTCCCCTTCTTTCCTATAGCTGCTTTTTAGATGTTGGAAGGCTGCTATCAGGTCACCTCAGAGCCCTCTCTTCTTCAAGTTGAACATCCTCAGTGCCCTCAGCCTGTCCTTGAAAGGGAGGTGTTTCATTAATTGGATCATTGTTGCGACCCTCCTCTGGATGCGCTCCAACAGGTCCATGTCTTCTCCTGTACTGAGGACTCTACATCTGGACACAGTACTTCAGGTGAGGCCTCACCATTGCAGAGTAGGGGGCAGGATAACATCCCTCGAGCTGCTGATCATGCTGCTTTTGATGCAGCCCAGGATACAGTTGGCTTTTGGGGCTGTGAGGGCATATTGCTGGCTCATGTCCAGCTTCCCATTCACCAGTATACTCAGGTCTTTTTTGGCAGGGCTGCACTCAATCCTTTTATCTTCCAGCTTGCATTGATAATGGGGATTGCCTTGACACAGGTACATTATCCTATGCTTGGGTTTGTTGAACCTCATGAGGTTCACCTGAGCTCATTGCTCAAGCCTGTCTAGATCTCTCTGCATGGCATCCTGTCCCTCTGGTGCATTGACTGCCTCCCACAGCTTAGCGTCATCTGCAAAGTTGCTGGAGGTGCACTCAACCCTGCTGTCAATGTTATTGATGCTAAAGAGTATCAGTCCCAGCACTGACTCCTGGGGGGCCACTCATCACTGATCTCCATCCAGTCACTGAGCCATGTACCTCCACTCTCTGGACTTGATCCTGTAGCCAGTTCTTTATCCATCAAACAATCCACCCATCAAATCTGTATCTTTCCAATTTGGAGAGAAGGATGGTTGAAGTTGGAGAGAAGAGGTGATTGTTCCCCTATATTCAGCACTAGTGAGGCCACACCTCGAGTACTGTGTCCAGTTTTGGGCCCCTCACTGCAAGAAAGACACGTGTTCAAAGGAGGGCAACAAAGCTGGTGAGGGGTCTGGAACACAGGCCATATGAGGAGAGGCTGAAGGAGCTGGGAATGTTCAGCCTGGAGAAGAGGAGGCTCAGGGGAGACCTCATTGCTCTCTGTAACTTCCTGAAGGGAGGTTGTATGAGCTGGGGGTCGGCCTCTTCTCTCGTGTCATTAGTGATAGGACCAGGGGGAATGGCTTCAAGCTGCGGCAGGGGAGATTCAGGCTGGACATGAGGAAGTATTACTTTTCAGAAAGGGTGGTCAGGCACTGGAATGGACTGCCCAGGGAGGTGGTGGAGTCACCAAGCCTGGGGGTGTTCAAGGAAAGGCTGGATGTTGTGTTGAAGGACATGGTTTAGTGGGAGCTATTGGGAATAGGTGAATGGTTGGACTGGATGATCTTTTAGGTCTTTTCCAACCTTGGTGATTCTATGATTCTGTGTTGTGGGGCTTTGTGTCAGAGGCCTTACTGAAGTTGAGGCAGATGACATCTGTGGCTTTTCCCAAAGGATAACATTGATACAGTGACACCATCATAAAAAGTCACTAGGTTGGGTAAGCAGGATTTTCCCTTGGTGAAGTCGTGCTGGTTCTACCATATCACCTCCTTATCTTCCATGTGCCTTAGCAAAGCTTCCAGGAGAATCTTCTCTGTGATCTTTCCCAGCACAGAAGTGAAACTGACAGGTCAGTAGTTCCCTCTGTAATTGTCATACTCTTCTTAAAAATGGATGTGATGGCAACATATTTACCAGAGACTTCACTTGATTTCCACTTTTCAAATATCATTGAGAGTGTCTTGGTGACTAAATCAGCTAACTCCCTCAGGACACTATGGGTGCCAGTGAGATACGTCCCAGACTTGTGGACTTTTAGGTTCCTCAGGTGTTCATGATTGGGACGTTGATTCCTCGATCCTCTCCTACCAAACCAAATATTTGAGGGCTGCATGGCGATCAGTTGTCAGAAAAGACAGAAGCAAAAAAGTTGATAATTATCTCAGCTTTCTCCTTGTCTCTTTTCTGTGTCACATGGGGGGATGGGGGGGAGGAGGGGGTATGCCCTCTTGGACTTTCTGATTGAGTTACCTGTAATAGCCTTTCTTGTTCTTTTTGACATCCCTTTCTAAGTTCAGTTTAAGCTGGGCCTTGGCTTTCCTGACTCTATCTCTACACAGCCTCGCAGCTTCCTTATAGCTTCCTCTTTGCATGTCTTAATCCTCTGGAGCATGAGCTCCACCATTGCATGGTCACTACAACCCACTGAGTCTCCAATCCTCATGTCATCAATCAGTTCATTTGGATTGGTGAGCAACAGGTCTATTATTGCATCCCCCCTGTTGAGGCCTTCTATTACTTGATTCAGGAACGTTCTAACAGAAGAATCAGATAAGCTATTTGCAAAGATGAAAAATTATGTTATTGGGCTACACTCTTATTTCGGTTTATGTATAATGTAGGACGCACTGGAGGGCTGTTAACACTGGTAATTTTATAAGTTTAGTTCAGTTATGCATGTGGCTGAAATGCATTACTGGCAGATAGCTTCATGGTGGAAAGTAACTTCATGACTAAACTGAAGTTGTAAAATCACGTGTATTTGTAAGCATAGGTAATGCAAACTAA